TCAAATCGTGTCGTTCTTCATCAAAATTCCACGGTGATCAACAAAAAGCACAACCAAAGCCGTGTTGTTCTTCATCAAATTCAACAAATTCTCTGAAGACGAAGACCAACAACCATATCCAATCCAAAGCCGTACCGTTCTTCCTCATATTCAGCAAAGAACAACAAGCACATCAAAATCGTGCCGTTCTTTTTCTGTGATTCAACAGGTTCAAAGAATCACCACACAACACTGTTCGAGATCAAGCTTCGTTAGCCCTCGATCAGAAATCATCGGCGGTCTTCCCTAACTACAAATACTTAAAGAAGATTGTTAACAACTTAATTCAAGATTAAGCTCTAACAACCCTTGAATCCAACCAACAAAAGAGATCGAATTAGTGGATATGTTCTTTCTTTTGTAAAGAATACCTCAGAGGATTGTACTCAATTTTTATAAATAAATAAATTACTATTTGCTCCCTATTTTGTTCTTTATTTGTAGATTACAAAATTTGTGTGTATAATGTCACCAAAATAAGTGAAGCAAATTCTAATTTATTGTTACCACATCTTCCATTGCATTGCACTCCATTGGCTTGTATTGTATTTGTATCTATCATACCAGATACATATCTTGGGCGAACAATGTAAACCAGGAAATTTTTATCCACTTGATGTAGTAGATAAATTCAGGTATGAATCCTGTACATTGGGGGATCTAAGGGTGGACTTTATTTTTTTTACTATACCCAATTTAAGCTCAGCCAAATATATATATATATATATATTATTTCTAGTATGTAGACTGTTTTGAATATCTGCAATGGATATTAACACCATCAGCCCCTTAAGTGCCAAGATATCAAACAACTTGCAGCCCATTTGAGTGAAATTGGTTTTCTTGTAATTAATATCTCAACGTTTAATCTTTCCCGTTATTATGTAAATTCTTTTTAGACGCTCAAGGTACCAAAAATTAAAAGAGATTTAATTTTAAATTTAAAGTGCTAATTTAATATTCTCAGACATAACTTAATATTTTTCTCAATAAAGAAAGAATAATGCTTCAAACACGTGTATATTGTGCAACTCTAATAAATACGTAATAATAACTCAAAGATAAAATTTAATTATGCTAATCACTTCGATAAAACTAGAAAGTTTCTATTTTTATTCAATATTTACAAAAGTGATTGTTGGAGATAATATTGCTAATTGGGCTCTGAACTTTCTATTTTAGAATTCCAACCAAAAATTGACAGCCTTTTAAGTATAAAATGAGACTTCATCAAGCCACCAAATTAACGGACAAGCTCCAGCACTTGCGACCCTGAGCTCCAACATCGATGGGCACAAGCAACAACCAGTCAACATATATATATTTTTTTCTTTTTTCTTTGCAACCACCTGTCAATTTTTATTTTTTTTATTTTTTTGGAGATTCAAAAAAATAAAAGAAAATGAATGTGTGGTATATATAAATTGGGTGTTATTTTTATTTAATAATTTAAAATTTTGAGTTAGCAATGATTTTTGGATCAAATTACTAAGTATTCACTCGTTACAAGATATCGCTATGCCACAAAGACTTTGATTTTGTGACTTTGTGAATTGTATATATATTTATATATATGTAGAGCGAGAAAGGGAGAGATGGTAAATCAATTCATCGCCTGAGAACAATTTTTTATTACATCCTTTGTTTTCGGAGGCCAATCATAACTCGAAATTTAAATTAAGTTATTCAATAATTCAGTATAATTTAAATTAAGAAATTTAACTGGTGCTTGATAAAGTTGTTAATTTAAATAAGTTGTTCAATGATCCGATAGATAAGACGTAAACTATAAATTTCTTTTGGGATGGGGTCGTACTTGCAAGAAACTTGCCTTTACAACTTGCTGAATAAGATGTATGTATATATCTATTTAGACAATCGGTCTACTTCAAGTGTTGTCTCTCTTGTTTTTTAAACTATGGATAAGTTTTCATTTAAGTAATTATACTGTGAATGTCGAAAGTTCGAAATTCTCTAGGGAATGTTTATTTTTTTTTTCACATTCCAACCACCGGTCCACCTCATTCCAACCACCGGTCCACCTCCCCCCCCCCCTCTCTCTCTCTCTCTCTCTAGACACACACACACAGAGTTAGTATTCTTATAACTTTGTCAATTTTTGTGGGGAAAAAAACAGAAAAAGAAAAAGAAATAGAAAAAAGGAAATGGGGTGGGGAAGGCTGCTGAGTGTGAGAGAACTGAGACCTGTGCTTCACCTTATGTTGCCTTTACTGGTTCACGGGATCGCCGGAACGATGACCATTCCGGTGCTTGTCGATGTCACCACCAGAGCTCTCTGTCCCGGAAACTCCGCCTGTTCTCGAGTTATTTACATCAACGGTATTCAGCAGACGGTACTCTCCCTCCCTCTCTCTACAAATTACATTCTCTCTCTAAAACTCCTCTTCTTTTTTGTTTTTGTTCTTTTCAAGATTCATATTCCTTAGTCCTTGTATTTCTTTTCGTTTTCCTGCAAATTTTCCGGGAACAAACTTAAAATTTTCGTATACAATTATTAATTTTATGTACAAAAGCTTTGGATTTTAAATCATAGAAGTTAACGAATGAAAAGTCTGATCGCTGACAAACTTTTGATATGAACAAGGTTGGGATAAATTTATTTATTTATTTATGACTAACTTAGGTTCCTGACCAATCAACAAAAAAATACAGTCAGCGTTAATCGAAAGCACACGTCAGCACCATTTATCAGATACTGTACAAGTTTCTCTCTCTTCGTTTTCTCTCTCCTCACGACTTTGTCTCCGATGACGACGACGACCACCATTTGTTGAATCCCGACAATCACTTCTAGCCCGCCATCCAACCCAACGCTGGCCACCCGTCCTGGGCTGCTTACCCCTCCAGAAACTGACCCACTCGCTGCCAATCAGCCTCAAACTGGTTCTTCCGTCGAGGAGCTCTCACCGGTCGTTTTTCTCTCTTCTCCTAACGACGACTTTTGTCTCCGCCGCTCCGACCACTTGTTGAACCCCTACCATAGTTCTGGCCCGCCGTCCAACCCAACGCCGGCCACCCCTCCTCGAGCGCGGCGGCTTACCCCCAGAAACTGTCCCACTGGCCGGCGATCAGCCCCAAACTGGTTTTTCCGGCGATGAGATCTCACCGATCGCACGCACTCTTCGATTTGGGTTTAAGGCTAGTCAAGACCCTTAATCATGGGTCACCATGCGGGTTAAACTTTATCTTGTTTGATCAATACGCTGGTCAGAACGGATCAAGAAATTCACTTGAGGGGAGCATATTTATATAGAGATATTTTATTTATAATTTCAGTGGGAGTAATTTTAAAATTTTATAAACATAAATGTAAAAAAGTACAAATTTAGAGGAATAAAATACAACAACAAAAAATTTCAGTGAAGGCACCACTGAGCCCACTGTAAATCGGTGCCTGACGCCGGTGATTTAAAATGATTCCATTCACACACTATATATATATATGTTGTACTTTTTTTTCTTTCTCTTCTTATATTTTACAAAATTTAGATTATTATATTTCTGGTCGTTTAGGTGCACCAAAAAGTGAAATGGAAGCAACCCAATTAGCTAAAAACACTGTTTGAGTGGTAACATTGTCAGGTTTTTCTTTTAGATGATAAAAATATTTGTTTACTAATTTATAATCCTTCATCCTTTTATTTCATTTCATTTTCCTGCAATTTCTCGGAAACCAAACGGAGCTTCAATTTATTTCTTTCATATTTCTGGTGGTTGATCTTGGTTACACCTTTTTATCTTTCTTTAGTGCTGGTTTGGTGGCATACTTTTATAAGTGCGTCTACCACTATTAATTTTCTGTTTTGCATTTTATATCGTATATCAGAAGTTAGGGATGCAAGAAACTTTGAGTATGTTTACTTCAGGTAAGAGTTCTTAAGAATAGAACTTATTTAAGATAATTATAAAAAACCTTTATATGAAAATAAGTTTTATTTTGTGTTTTTTTATAAATTAATTTTTTTATAAAAAAAATCAAATAAGCTGTACAATATTTTTATTTTCATTTTTATTCTCTTGAAAATAAAAAACTAAATTTGGATTTATTGGCTATATAGATTTGGGAATTTATATAAATTAATGTATTAGGAGCGACACAAATGCTCTCTATGGGACTTGAATACCTCACCTCCCTTTTGAGGGAGGATAGTTTATATAGGCTAGGATTAGTGATTCTGAATGCGGATATATATATATATATATATATATATATATATATATATATATATATATTTTATGTAATATATTGTACATTGAGGGATTATTATTATTATAATAAATATTATTATTTCTCTTTTCTGAAAGGTCAAGCAAATACACACCCTCGCACTATATATATTATGCCTCTACTCAGACTCAAACAACTAACATCTCCATTTGAAGATAAAAATTTATACCGTTTGGACTAGTGCCTATTGGTATTGTACGTTGAGTGTTTTAATTATAGGATCAATATTAAAATTTAGTGGATGACAAGAAGTTCTAATTGACTGATTTTGGATCATTTGATTTTGTTTTGTTCATTTTACAAAGCTGAGGTTGTTCCATTATAGTGGGGACTTTTTTTGTCTTTTGCATAATGTAAATGGATTTTGATTCATTGGATTTGGGAAGAGTTTCCTACTAAAAATGAAATAAAAAAGGCCATGGTTGCTCATGAATAAAGTATATGTTATATAATTTTGTGTATGGGTCCTCTTGATGTCATGGTTGTGGTCGGTTTGTTTTTAAGCTTTTGGTTGGATTTTCAAACTTGCAATATACATAGCATTTGAAAAAAAAGGATCTATCACTTTCATAATCAAGTAGGCGTACCATAAAAAATTAAAATATTTAAAAAATGATATATTTAGTCCATGACATGATCATTATCCATATTTTGAATTAACAAATACCTGCTACTAAAGAAAAAAAAAAAAAAAAAAAAACTGCTACTGTTTTGATGTTTTGACTGTTAAATTAATAGTCTTAGCATGTTAAATTTATACAAGTTATTTTGATTGTATTAGACTATTATGTAAAACCCAAATTATTTAGATACAGCTAAGTTCTTGAAATTTGGATGAAGAAGCAAAATTAGAAATTGAGATTTGTTTTGTGAGGTCTATGAGAACCCTACCCCATTAGTGCACCAAAGGCGTATGAGAAAATGCAAGTAAGAAGAAAAGGGCAGTAACAACAAAAAACTGATCCAATTCGAACTCCTTTAATCCAACAAATGTGCGGGAATGCGATTGTGTTTTTAGGTAGGCTGAAGGACATCCAAATCATATTATCACTATGCAGCAAGCTTGGCTCCCTGATCTATGTCCGAGCTTTTGACTCCAGATATTAAATGCGTAATCTCAGTATTCAATGGGGTATTCCTAAATAATCTCATTTTTCAATTATTCATCCATTTCATTTTACGAAGTTCAATGTTAACCAGATTAGTCAACATATCAACCGTGTACTATCAAGGCTTAGGCTTATCTTTGCCCTTGTAGGTTGTTGGAATTTTCAAGATGGTGGTGCTTCCAGTCCTAGGCCAGCTTTCCGATGAGTTTGGGCGTAAACCACTGCTTCTTATTACAATATCCACTACTATAATTCCTTTTGGTAAGTAATAGAATTTTGACTTTACTTTTGGGTGAGATCGTCTTAAATTTCATTCTGAACTTACTATGTCGTAATCACACTTAAAAGTTAAATGCTAGCTACTTTCTTGTCCCCCCCCTCCTCCTTTTTTAATTTTAAATTTTAAAATTTTCAAATTAGTCTTTGAATATCTAAAATGTTCCTAATGGACAGTGTATATACGCGAACCATAATGACAATTGGTAAATATGATTAGTGGATCATCTACCTCTCAATTAGTCCTTAGCTTTGAAGAAACAAGAATAATTTTCCGGAAAGCAGAAGACATATTTCATGGCCTATTTGTCATCTCTTGATGGTCATTCATTGAAAGGACACTACTTTGCATATTACACTCTGCCTCTAGTCTTGCCACAAGTATTCACAAAGTTTCCTATGACTGATCTTTTCATGCTCTTGTTTCAGGTTTACTTGCGATCAGCGAGTCAAAGGAATTTGTGTATGCTTATTACGTGATCCGTACATTTTCAAATATTATTAGTCAAGGGAGCATTTTATGCATTGCTGCTGCATATGCCGTAAGAATTTTTGTTCTATTTAACCTTTTAAAAAATCATGGTGGGGAACTACGGGGAATCAGCTTTGATCTTCCTCTTGCAGGCAGATGTTATTGATGACAGTAGGAGGGCTGCAGTTTTCAGTTGGATTACAGGTCTCTTTTCTGCTGCGCACGTCTTGGGAAATGTCCTAGCGCGCTTCCTTCCTGAAGATTACATTTTCGAGGCATGTTGGTGCTGAAACTATAGCATTTGCTCATGCTGTTTCTCTCTATCATTGCTACTAGTTAATACTGATGAACCTTCCTGTTTCAGGTTTCGATAGCTCTCTTGATCTTTTGTCCGGTCTACATTCAACTGTTTCTGCCCGAGACAGTTCATCTGACTCCCAAACAGGACAAAAGTGCATTTTGCTTGCACAAGGCATTCAAAGTTGTTCAGGAACGATATAACTCAATGAAATTTGCCGCAATTATTTTCATCAACAGGTATGTCAGTCTGTATGCCAGATTGATTTTTGTGGATACGTAGAAGCATTGCAACAACATATTTGTTATTCTCTATAGAAATTTTAATGTGGACAAACTGTGACATTCTGTTTGCCTGACCTCATTTTACTTCTCAGTCCAACGCTGAAGGGCATTTCTCTTGTTACCTTCTTCTATGAGATGGGAATGACGGGCATCAGCAGTGTCTTACTGGTATGTTGATCGTTAGAAGCTGCCCAAAATTTCATAATTTCAATATTCTACAAATGACTGAGTTATAACATTATCTAAACACTCATGTAACTTTCTTTTATGTCTGCAGTACTATCTGAAATCGGCTTTTGGTTTCAACAAAAATCAATTTTCAGAAATTTTGATGATGGTGGGAATAGGATCAATTGTGTCTCAGGTATTCCTTTTGGCGGTTCTTTCTCTGATATTTTACTTTAGAGATCCTGAAAGCATGTAATATGCTTGTAACTTGATACTGAAGATCGCACGAGTGTCTCAAATCTGAATCCGTTTATGAACAATAATGACAGCACACGAACAAATTGTTTTTATTATCTGTTGAATATTTTCGTTGTGTGCCCTTATTCCAATTATTCCTCAAGAATTTGTCCCCTAACCATATGCTTCATTTTGCGGTTTGCTTTAAGATGTTGGTGCTTCCTCTACTCAATCCATTGGTCGGAGAGAAAGTGATACTTTGCTCATCCTTACTTGCATCAATAGCTTATGTAAGTTTTTCAACGCTAGCTGAATTCAATCCCTGAGCCTGAGGACTTCATCTTATAGCAGCGCATATTTAGTGGATTTTTATGTCAAAGAGTTCATTTTTTTTGTGCAGGCATTGCTTTATGGCTTGGCATGGGCTTCTTGGGTATGTATTTTTACTTACTAATAAATGTGATACTATTATCTGTTTCGAAACTAAAATTCTTACATTAGCAGAAAAAAGACAGATGTTTGCATTTAAGGTTTCAAATCTGTTGCTTATTGAAATCAATGCCAAACAGGTACCATACTTGAGTGCTTCATTTGGAGTCATCTATTGCCTTGTTAAACCTGCTGTAAGTATATTTCCTACGACTATCCATTTTGTCTGAAAAATATGTCAATCAATTTATGATGCCAAATTTGATATTTTTTCCTTTTTTCTGTTGATTTCTTGATATGACAGACTTACGCTATTGTATCAAAAGCTTCAAGCTCGAACGATCAGGTTTGTGAAGTCACAGTGCATCCCTACACAGTGTCATATTAAATATCATTCAGAGTTATAGACATGGCAAAAACCGAAGCCATGACAAATTTGGGGCAAAAAAATGGGGAAAAACTCATTCACAACAGCCTTAAAATTGTAAAATTCAGTCTGCTTCCTTGCTTGACTTCGGTGTCTTGGTCAAAAAAATTTTCATTGCAATTCAGTTTCACATACTTCACATTCTTCTATCGTCTTCTAAGTCCAATATGAATAACAGGGGAAAGCACAAGGGTTTATTGCTGGTGTGGAATCAATATCAAGTTTGTTATCACCACTTGCAATTAGTCCATTGACATGTAAGTTGATTTTTCTGTTTGTTTCAGTTGAACATCAGAACCATTTCAACTAACTTGCCTAACTGCTGACTATATGTTGTCTCAGCATTGTTCCTGTCCAGCAATGCGCCTTTCAACTGCAAAGGTTTCAGTATTATCTGTGCATCGTCATGCATGGTAAGCCTTCTCTCTCTCTCTCTCTCTCTGTGTCTCTCTCTCTCACACACACACACACACGCAACAAACACACAACCTGACTGCACTATTCGTCATCTCAGGTGATTGCCCTTGGTTGTGCTTGGATGCTAAAACCAGAAGCACCACCAAAGAATGATTTGGAGGCTAATGTAGATAACATCGAATCGCCACTTCTGTCATAGAAGGTGGCAGTATTATCCTGGATACTCCTCTTAGGCTGGCAATGTATGCAAATTTTGATGCTTTGTTGTCGCTAATATAGAATGTAAATATCTATGAAGTCTGCCATTTTCTGCTAGTTACACTCTCTCATAGACAATATAGAGCATTGAATTGTTTCTCCTGCAACAGGAGAGTGTATTATAATTATTATTCATGCTCAACATAAGAGTGGTGTGTTAAATGATCTAAAGGTAAGTGATGTCACCAAAATAAGTGAAGCAAATTCTAATTTATTGTTACCACATCTTCCATTGTCCATTGGCTCGTATTGTATTTGTACCCATCATACCAAATACATCTCTTGGGCGAACAATGTAAACGAGGGAGTTTTTATCTACTTGATGTAGTGGATAAGTTCTGGTGTGGATCCTGTAGATCTACTACGTCAATGGCTAGAAACTCTCAGGCTAACAAATAGGTTAGAGAAACCGGCCAAAAAATCATTTTCCTGATTCAATCTCATTCGTACATTTCCATCTGTGATGCCTCTTACTTGTGTAAATATGTTTTTAAAATCGTGAACAAAATGTGCAGAACAAAGTGGACAGTATCTGCTATGAATTCCAACACCGTCACTCCCTCAAGTGCCAAGATGTCAAACAACTTGTAGCCCTATTGAGTGAAATTGGTTTTCTTGTAATTAATATCTCAACATTTAATCTTTCGCTTTATTATGTAAATTCTTTTTAGACGCTGAAGGTACCAAAAATTAAGATGTGATAAAGCATATCTTGTTGACTAATGATCTTTACAGAATTATATTGAGTTGTTTGCACTGAAATGAGCACACTGCTATAGCGTTCTTATAATTCTTTCAAAGGGTGACATTAATGTGACAAGATCAATCATCATAAAGAAACACTTCCGTTACTCTGTACAACATCCAAATGGTTCTCTAAATGAACAAACAAAATTATCAAGACAGTTTTTCTCCCAAATTTACAGTATTGGGGGAGATTTTATGCAACCTCTAAGATTGAAGCTAAATAGAGATGGTTTACATAACAGTACAGGTTTCAATGGCTGCACTCAAGAACTTTGGTCTTGTGTCCCGTATGAGAAACACAATCAGCCCTCTTCCCCAAATTCCTTTGTGAATCTCTCATGCACCTCGAGGTCTTTTTTGCTCACGGTTGGCTTCTGTCTTGTCAGTACTTTGTCAAAATCTCTTCTCGCGATAGGCGGCGGGTGGATCTGCAAGGCAGTCATTTATTTTGATGAGAAAGCAAGCAGTAATTTTCTGGTTAATGAAGGAAGAATTATGTCTGCTGGGATTAGCAAATATTATCTACTCGGGAAACAAATGTGCTTTGAGAATAATGTTACCACCATCACTGGATGAGGAGTATATTATTATCCTAGAAACCATGCCTTTTCCTTTTCAATTCATTCAATCATATTTTTTAGTTTTCTTTTCCTTCTTTTTCTTATTTTTACTTTTAATAAGCATGCTGTAATTTTGATGATGATAGTGCAATTATCGAAGTTCTGAATATTATGAGATCATGAATGTAATATATCAATCCTATTTTTATGACTTCCTGCCAAAAGGGAGGGGCAAAAAAAATTATTTATTGCACATCCTCAAGAATTATGAACATTGACTAACAAGGCCTTGGCTTGTGGTGTACATCTTCCACCTCTCCCAACTCCAAAGAAGAGGTCGAGCCCATAGTTAGCAAATACGTGCATTATCCATGTATATATAATAGTGATAATAATAAAAAAACTGTTTCCTGCATAAGGTTCAAACTTTAACAAATAGTACTCGTATTTTTGAATTGAATCATATATAGTACACGTATTAAACGTTTTAAATATTATACATTATGAAAAATATTTCACTTATATTATTTTTTTTTAAAGATTAAATCGTCTGTAATCATTTCATTAGAAGAAAAAAAGCATATATTTATATATATATATATTTTTAAATAAATGGAAAATTATAGTAACATGACCAATAATTAACCTAATCAAGTAACCATTTCATTTTCCCAGTTAATAGGAAAGTTAATAATTTTATATCTCGTGAGCCACAAGTGGTATCATATAACACTATAAACCTAGGTAATTTTTAAATCTTTTGATGAATTAATTCAGCTACGTAATTATACGTCCTCTGTGATAATTATATATTAATAATTGTGGTAAAAAACAGACAAACTCTTTCTTTGTAAGTTCAAAAAAAGAAAAAAAGAAAAAGACATATAAACAAATAAATATGCAATTTGTTTATAATACTTTTACAACCATGAATTTGTTTCATCACTCTTTTATTTTGATTTAAAATTTGGATATGATTTAAAAATAAACAAAATACTATAACAATAATAATTATTCTAAAATTTATAAACAAAAAATATATATAAATGGTACTGTATTTTTACCATGAACTTTTTATTAGCAGTCAAATTATACCCATATATGTATATATGGGTATTTTTACAGTTTAAATATTTTTATGCTGAATTTTCAACGTAATTTTTAAGAGAAAATCATAATAACTATTATTTTTCCTGGTTACATACTTTGCTAACTATGGTTGCACTATCAAAAATATTATGTGTGTGTGTGTGTGTGTGTGCACGTGGACATTGCACAACGCATTCTCTTTGTTTTCCTCGCCAGTAGTGCAAAGTTCGCTATTTTTTGAAAATGTACTGCTGAATAACTCAATTTCATGTGATCCATACCTTTGAAGCTAGGCCTTGTGCTGCTAGCTCCTGCATGTTAATCTGAATTGCACCTGGTTGTCTAGGTCCATAAGGCGTCCAGATATCGTTAGAAGCCTTTATGAAAAACTCAGCATCTTGAGTTTTACGGACAGGTTCGAACAGCACTTCATTTACCTATCATATAAGCAAAGGCAAGATAGTTAAGCGTTTCAGCCATATATCTAAAAACCATACTTGTGAAAGCTAAATAGGAAGAATTTAAGAACTGACATGAACCTAACACTTACACAAACAGAAACATCTGAACCTGAGAACCCTTCAGTTTTACGGGCTAGTTGTTCAAAATCACTTTCACTTAAGTTGTGAGGAGTATCTCCTAAATGTACCTGCTCATATCCATCAATTGGTATAAGAGTGAGAGTGGGGAAAAGAAGAAGGAAAATAAACTAAGCCAAGATGGAGGCATTGCCCTGATTCCGAGAGAGAGAAGATGCATTAAGAAAGTACCTTGAACATGTGTTGCCTTGCCTTCAAATCTGGGAGAGGAATATAAATCCGCTTCTCAAATCGCCGCCTGATGGCCTGTGATTTAGTTTGCATTAGCCGCCAGTAATAAGTAGCATTCTTTTTCTTACTTTCAACATGACGCTTGTGTCCTACACGTGCTTGAACCCTGCACCTCCTCTTTGGGGGTGGCAGTAGATTCTACTCAAACTAAGAGCCAGTATCCAATAAAAATTAGAAATCCCGAAAAATCTTAGGGGACGTTCCTATTTACTAGTCAAGACCTGTAAAGTGTCCAGAATTTGTCACCTGATCTAAGGCATACGGAGTATTTGTGGCTGCAAGAACAAGAACCTTCTGATCATTGTTCCCTACACCATGATAAGAATAATAAACAATTAAGCTTAAAAGAATGTAAGCAAAAGAGATAAACTTATCAATCATAATATGAGAAATGCTAATGAGACAGTGAGGGGGGAATATGTTGAATCACATGCTACTCTAGGACGGTTTGCAAGCTGCAAGAACCGAATCTTGTGAATTGTCAGAAAGAGGATAAATTTTCAATAAATATTCCACAAGGTTGACTTTAAAGACCATACTCTTTCCCATGACTAATGAGTGGACCATGATAGGGCTTTGCTTGACATTGGGGAGTCATCACCACCATCTGGTAGGGAATGTTACACAACCAGCTTTTCCAGCCTATTCTTGAGATCTTGACCTATCATTGGATGGTGGAAGGGGAAGAAGCGGCTAAGGCAATCAGTGATGACTATGCAATTATAGAGGTGGATGACAGTTTAAAATTTTGATAATGACAATTATTTTCAGATACTGGTCATTTAAAGGTTTCAACGCAAAAAAGTTAATGTATCTGGTCAAAATGCATTACAGAGATAAAGTTAACATAACCAGACAATAAAAGGATCAAATTAGCAAAGCATCTGTTCGGTGAAAAAGGAAATTTGATGGTCTCAAAATTGAGAAAAGAAATCTGATCAATAATACAAGTCAGAGTAAAAAAGGGAATGGTAGTCGTAGCTCACAGTTCTATTTCATTCAATCATAATTATTAAAAGATGGATCCTGGGAGAATTCTATTTGTAAAGCATGTCTTTTGGCTCCAACTATAAAATCCTAGAAGCATTCTGTTACAGGAAAAATTCTTTCTCAAATATGTTATATTACCCACAATTTGCATGTGGGAATTTGATCTGGACATCATTAAGTAGAAAATCTATGCAAGAACTTATGTCACTCAAGTCCAGGTATACCATTTCAATGGAATGGAAGCATAAAGTAACAGTTAAACACTTCCAACTGAGCAAAAACTACCTGCATCTGTACAAGTAGTTCAGTTTTAATATGTCGAGATGCTTCACTCTCATTGCCTTCGCCTCATTGGCCGCATAAAGAATTGATTTCGTCAATGACAATGATGGAAGGAGTACTTTCACGAGCCATTTGAAACAGATTTGAAACTAGCTTTTCCCTTTCTCCCATCCATTTTGAACCATGTCTGATGAAGAAATACTGCATAGAGATGGCATTTGATGCTTGTCAATCCATTAAGTAAACTCCAGCTACAAAAATACATTAAAAAAAGTGAAATATTCAACAGCCAAATTTTCTGAAAGAAAGGAAGAAGTGTAACCAAGTGATACTGACGGAGAAAGCACAATTCCACAATACAGTCTTACAACTAGATATGTGAACCAGCAAGGCATACACGGAAGGCAAAGTGGATATCTAGGAAAGTTGCGTGAATCCAAGAACAATAGATATGATCAGGCATACAGAATGCAAATAAAATCTAGACAATCTTGGTTATTTGCAATCAAAAAATGAATAAATGATTATATATATTTACAAACACAACAAAGAAACACCCACCAGGAACTCAAGCAGGTTCACGTGCACCACAAATCAACTTCAACATATTAAACCTACCAAAGGAGAGACCAATGTTATGCGATCTATTAGACAATGACAGCGTTCCATAATTCCACAAAGTATATCATTTGGAAAAACATGATACGTGTTTGACATATTGCAAC